TAATAAAAACTAATAGTTACTATTAAAAATCATCAATTTTAGATTTTTCACAACCAAGTTCAAGATAGATTCTGCTTGTTTGGCTTGTTTTATGAAGAGATACCAATCCTACACTTTAAATTCTAGTGCTAGAAGAGATAAAACTTTATGTATATATAATAATAGAATACATAGCAATGTAACATTGAAGTAAAAAACATCAAACACATCATTTTAATCTCTTTGTGATCTTTTCACAATTTTTATTACATAGTTTAACTTTAAAACATTGAAATAACAAAAATCAATTATATTTTTTTCCCAACAATCTATACAAGTATCTTTTTGTATCTAGATAAACCAATAGATGTTTGAACATGAAATTCAAAAATACATTTGGGTCGGATTATAATCATAAAATAAGATGTGATTACAGAATTTAGCCCCAAAATTTATTTATTTTCACAAAAAAGAGTTGCGTTCACAAGAATGATTCATCATTTTTTTCTTAAAAGTAAACATAAAAAATTATGAAGATTGACATAAAGCTTCAAACATGATATATAATTGAATTAATCAAATTATTCAAATTATTTTTTGTTTAACTAACAGTACGTCAAGCTCATTTATTCATGGTAACATTAGGGTTTAGAGATAAACTCACTCAAAAAATAAAACATAAATTATGAAGATGAAAGATATCAACAATGATTTAAGTTTACTTTATATATATTTTACGAGCAAGTAGAAGAAGATAAGATCTCATCTCCACCATCTATTTCATTCCACGTGGATTAATAACATGAGGTATAACCAGACTTGCTTATAATAGATGATCGCTTAATTTACCTAAATTAGCTTAATAATAATGCCGTTTCAAAATCAATTTATGCGGTAGGCACATTTAGTCGAGACTGAAGGCTAATAAACGAGAATTGAAAATTTTATTTGTGCAATAAAATGTGTATTACCAATCAATTGATTGATCAGTAATCAAGATGCGAGGCTGCTCCTTAATTATCACACTCCGCAAGTGCCTCGACTTGCATATATTGCCTCGTCTGCAACACATCTTCAAGTCCAAAATCTAAAATACTCTTGCAGTAATTACCTTTCTCCCACCTTGGAACGGACAAATCAGACTCCACTGTACTCGTGCCGAGAAATTTAGTTGCACTACCACCGCAAAACTCGACCAAGTTTGAATACCGAGCACTAAATAAGGTCCAAGCATTGTCAAAAAGATCTCTTTTGGTTACTGTCATCAATGCTTTCATGCATCACAGACTCATTGAGGTAAAATCAAAAAGAGCTGTATACTCGTCGGCAATGACGTCTACTTGTGTCTCCGAGTATCGATGATGCAGGCGAAAGTTTTGTCTACGAGTCTTGCTAATGAAATCGGCAGCGGAAGCGTGAACAAGCTCTTGCGGTAAAACAGGTGGTAGCGCGAGTGGATCAAAAAATGGGTTTTTGTCTGCATTGCATTGCACAACAATTTTTTCAATGCGAGCACATGAACAAAGACTAGAGCAACATCTTGCAACAATTTATTACGCTCCTTCTCATCGCTAGCGTTGAAAATGCCTTCAAGTCACGACGCGAGTCCGACAATAAATTCTTGCACTTTCAAAAGTGTGAGCGCGTAGCGATGCCTGATGATATGTGTCATCACATCCAGGACAGAAATTATATCAATCTGTCAGCGGACCATTAATACCCATATCTTCGATAAAGGTGCCAACGAGAACGTCGAGCTCCGCTTGCTGTTGTGATATTAGAGTCGTCAGACCTTGAATCTTGCAAAAGGTTTTGATGTTGTTCACCGTGAAGATATGCATTGCAAGAAGATACATCCATCAAATTTGAGGCAAGGCATTCGCATGTTGCTTCAACTCAATGTACGCTAGGAGCTCAGGTCGGTGCTTCTTGAACCAAGTTATAACCTTGTATGTAGAATGTCATCAATTTACAACACGAGGACATGTTGTACTCATTTCTATGATCAGATTCTACTGCCGCATGAGATGCAAATTGAACTTCGTCATCATAGAGAAGAAGTGATACTTCACAACTACATTCATGATGTGCTGCTTAACGAGATCAAGATGATACGCTCCACACCGGATTCGGCTCAGATCACTATCATTATGAAGTTCTATCTGAAGCCTTATCACGATGCCAGCGACACGTCCGGTCATATTTCAAGCTTCATCCCTCGACACGTCGAGAAGACAAATCCTTCAATGAGGGCAAAGTACGTCAAGAAATTGAGAAATCATGTTGAACATGACTTCGCCTTAGTGTCGTTCAAAAATTGGCAGTGCGCACCTATGTAGGTTGACGACAACGAGCTTATTTATCACATACACAGAAAGACGAATATCTAAATATGATGTGCTCTCATGTGATGCTAACAAAAAAGTCCAAGTTTTTTTCACTAGCTCTGAGAGTCGTTGAAAGTTGGCAACACAAACTATACTAACAAACCTGTTGACGTACTCACAAGAGCAAGAACACATCAACGGAGTAAATAGGACTTGATATGTCTTGGCGATGATATTCGCTGTTATGTGAAATGATGCTCCACACGCGACATATCAAATGGCAAGGTTGAAGAGTTGGATTTTGGATTTTGCAGTTGTGACAGTATAGAAAGAGTATACTTTGTCATCATTATTTGTTGGCTCACTGCCTTTGAAAAGTGTCATCGCTCGCTCCTTCATCTTCACAGCATTAATACGACGGTTAGAGATCACAATCGCACGTTCGGCCCCATTTCCACATGCAAGCGCTTGCTTGTCGTCATCGTCAACATCACTAACATCATGCTCCTCTGAATACATCATTTCACCAATGATTAACTCAACGATGGCTTTGTCAATGATGAAGACAATCTCACGATTGCCCGCAGCTTAAGAGACAAAATGAGCCTTGAGAGTGCTTCTGAAATGAAACTTAACGTCATCAAACAAAGTTTTTGCTCCGCTTTTGATCATAGCTTTTCATATTGTTCAAATTTGAAAGTGTGCTGCTTCTTCATATGAAGCTCAATGTTGTCATAGCGAAATGGTGCACTCCAACCTTGCACGTTGGTCATGATCTTGTGCTTCGCGCCAACATTCTCCTCACGACCGAATATGATGCAAAAAAGACACTACACCCTGCTGACGGCTGAAGTAGAAGCATAGTGTTACACTAAGGTTTAGAGAGAAGTTCACTCGAAGATAGAAACGTAAACTCTGAAGATGAAAGATATCAACAATGGTTCTACTCTCCCTTATATAGCTCTCACAAACAAGTACAAGGATATTAGATCTTATCCCCACCATACATCCCACTCCCAATGGATGGATGACATGGCAGATAACCCTAACAAGCACACGGATCGCTGACGTGGCACTTCTAACTAACACACTAACTGACACATTCAATCCTTACCTACAAGCACACAGATTGCTAACATGACACTATCAACTACCACATTCACTCTCTATCTACCAAGCGCGCGGATCGCTAACGTGGCAGCTATGACTAGTGCACGCTAAAGTATCTATATTAACATATTAGAGTAACCTATACTCTAATATAGGTTACTCTTTAATTCTAACTAATTAAAGATGGTTACACACAACGCGAGATAACTTTCAAATCATAACTAGCATCATTGGTCTTGACGTAGTCAGAGCTGCACTTGTTCTTTGATGTTGAACTTGGAACAAAAGCAGTCTAATGGAAGTATGGTCATGGTCTCGAGGGCCTTAATTTAGACGCCTCATAAGAATTATTTTAGATAATTTAGACGCCAAAAACTCTAGACGCATATTATTAAAAGGCTTGTGTATAACCCTAACAAGCACACATATCGCTAACGTGATACTTTCAACTAACACATTCAATCATTACCTAACAAGCGCACAAATGACTGAAGTGGCACTGCCAACTAACACATTTAATCTCTATGTACAAAGCACATGGATTGTGTACATGACAAATATGACTAGTGTTTTTCTAAAGTAACTATAACTCTATCTTGATAATTCTCTACTTTAGTTCTAACTAGCTAAAGATGGTTACATTCACACTGCAATAAAATTGATAAAAAATTTATACAATGTTGTTGTCATATCTACATCACAACTATAAACATTACTTCAGAGTTTTTTTTTGATGAAAATATTATTAAAATATTTTTATTCTCCTCCATTTTTCAAGATTTTGATATCATTTTTGTCTTATATTCTTAAAAATTACAACTTGATTAAATGTCATTAATCATGTGTGCAATCTTTTTTTTTGTCATATCATCTTACAAATAGGTTCATCACAATTTCATATCAAATTTGAAAATAGATCAATCATGTGAATATTCACGTTGTTTCACAATAAATTAATTTTTTTATGATAAAATACAAAAATTATCAAACATCAGATATTAAATTTTTCTCCGAATTATTAAAATTATTTTGATTCATCACTTTCATCATTCATCTAATGTTGAGTGATTTCATTGTTTGTGTTGGTAAAGCTGAAAAACCACTTCTCTTCTTTCAAAGTCTTGCAATCCTCTACCTTCAATAGTTTTTACTCAACCAGAAAAATACTTTAAATATGAATGGAAGGATCAAATTTGAACTTATCGCAATTCAAGCGCGGAGATTTCCATCTCAAAATAAAATTGTATCTTCTACGTATGAAGTTAGAAAGCGCTACCCTATCCATTGTATTGGTAGGTTGATTTATTATATTTGGTTGCAATATTCCATGACATATTTGTAGATATTGTTCACAATCATATTTCTAGAGTTGTTCGAGACGGAGAGAATTTGATATTACTTCAAACAGCAAAGCAAAGACTTATAATTCAATGCCAATCCACTCACTTTCAACCCATTGATATTTAGATATATAAATGGGGGCAATGGTTCTGCAGAGTTGCTTCAAAACACGAACAAAAGATGGTCACTCCAAAGCTCATACCCAGGCATTCCTCGTACCCAAGTCACAAGTCGCATGATGTGCAGATCGCAACAAACAAAACTCTTTCATCCATTCTCGTTACATGCGTCAATGAATCAAGCTAGGTCCATAATGAAAACTTGACGAGTGTCTTCCACTCACTCACTCTACACCCGCATTTCTCTTCCTAAAGGGCCATCTGCATTTTTGTCCGTCGGAATTTTTCTACCTTCCTTACAAAACTCTGTTCACATCTTTGAACACTCTTATTCCCTAAGGCCAGCCTGGTCCACTGGCTAATGCAGCAATCCGCCAGTCCCAGACGGCTAAATCGGTCTCCCCTCTCTCGCTCGCTCTATCTATCGCCTCTGCTGGCAAAGTACACCTCTCTCTCTCTCCAACGTATCCACTCGATAATAATGCCCCGCCAAATCAGCGGCGTTGCCAGCCACCCCGTCGGCCCTCATCGCCACGTCGGACTGGTCGGTGTAATTTGAATCTTGAAAGCCGAGTTCTGGAAATTGTAATGAATGGCCTGGCAGGCAGTCAGGGCCGCTGCGGATGCGGACGCGGACGCTGACTCAGCGGGAATGGGTGTGGACGGAGAAGCGCGGCGCAAGTCCACGCCACCCGCCGCCGGGCGCACGATGAACGAGAAGGGTACTGTACAGGAGAGCAAGCAGACGGACAGACGGACGGATGGACGGACTGGTGGAAGGTGACCGGAGGCACCGGTGCAGTCCCACGGGAGGAGAAGGTGGGAGGTGGGAGGGGGAGGGGGATATGAATCGAGGAGACGAGGCGAGAGACGAGACGATGAAGATATGGAGACGAGACGAGGAGAAGAGATGGAGATGAAGGTCGAGATGGGAGGAGAGGAGGAGGAGAGGAGAGAGGGACGGACGATAAGAGAGGCGGAGCACGGAGAGATAATGGAGCCAGAAGCTCTAAGAATCAAAAATTACATAAAGAATAGCTCGGTGTATACACATACAAAAGAAAGCTCACTACTATACACTGATGATGATGATGATGATCGTCTATGGTTACAAGTGAATGGGAAGCCTGTAAATGTAATATCCAATTGGGGGGGAGGATGGAGCTTGGCCGCATTGGCGAACGCACTCGGCATCGGAGCCCCCCCATCGCCACAATTTTGCATCATACATGGGTGTTGTTGGATAAACCTCGTGATCCATCTATCGGGCTTTTTGCAATTCTTCGAGGAGGCAGCAAAGTTGGCGCTAGCGTCCTGCAGTCTGAGAACCGACCGAGCGCCCGCAGCAGAAAGCACGGGAGAAGGGTGGTGGGCTGCGACTGACTGTGGTGGTGATGAAGCATGAGGTGAGAGAAAATAAAGTTGGCCCTCATCTCTCGACTTAACTCGCGTTGAAACTCTAGCACTCTTTTGTGGTGGAAGTCCCATATCAATCGTCCTATTTTCGTCTATTTGTCTGCTACTAGCTAGAAAAACTTCTTCATGTTCCGAGGAGGACGATGAGCTGTCCACTCATCTCAAATTAGCCACACGAAGCTCGTATGCACCATGTGCGAAATGGCACCGATCGGCGAAAGTACAGGTTCCTTGCACAAAGTTCTTGCACAGCTTGGTCTTGAAGCTGCGGGAGCCGAGAGCCGCTGCCCTAGACGACAGGAGCTCCTTGTTCTGCATGTACTGCCTCACCATCTCGCTAGCCTGCTCTATCTGCTCCAGCGAGCCCTCCATCTCCACGTTCCTCATATTCGGGTCGGTCCCGTGCTCGCGGATCGACACTTTTGCTCCGGTCAGCCGGTTGATTTGCTTCACGTTCGCGCCGGCCTTGCCGATGATTGCCCCGGCGAAGGCGGCTCCAATGCTGATCTTCTTCGACGTCGACGAGGATCCGAATCCAAATCCTGGGGCGGAAGCGGGCGAGTTGGGTTCGGTGTGGTAACTGCCATTATTCGATACGTTGGACGGATACATGAGACTCAAACTATCAACACTCCTGGCCATGGACGACTGCCTCGAGTACTCTCCCGTGCTTCGACTATCGATGGAGCTTCCCAATGAGCGCACGGACGGAGCTGGCATCGGGCGCAGGTCGCTCTTCCCATGCGCGAAGCGGCACTTGTCTCCGTAGCGACAACCTTCCGGAGTACTAAATCGAAGGCACAGACGGGTTTTGTACACTCCCAAATCAACATCGTTATTCTCCGCGCTAGCGGGTTGCGTGCCAGCGCTGTTGCTACCTCCCTTCGGCCCACTACTGCTTCTCGGCACGCCTGCACCAGCAGAGTCGATGATTCGAGTGCGTCAATCAGCCTGCATTTCCGCGCTTCAACATTGAAGTGCAACATTCCTTCCACTCGACTCCACTCCAACCCCCCTCCCCCCGCCCTCCCACAAACCCTACCTTTCTCTTTTCCGACATTTTCCTCTCTCTCGATCGATTACCGTTCCTTGCTCATTGATTCGCGTGTGTTTCCTTCTTACAGTACTGTACTCACCAATTTCGGGCTGTCAATCGCACGAGAAGAAGAAGATAGAGATAGAGAGAGCATGCGACATCTGGACATTTCCGCCCCTTCAATCCACGTCGCAGGCCTAAGGTACGAAAGAAGTCACGACTGCTAACGATAGCAAACTAGTACATTAGAGTTTCAACAGCAGGCGTAGGTAGACTCTACGGAGAACTACTCTGCCAGGTGCTTGTCCGCACACTTTACCTTCTCGAGGATTTCTCACGTGTTGTCATGTAGGTCGGGGATTCTATAGCTCAGTAGCCATGTATGGTTCCTTCTGTTGTCTTCCTTGCTTGCTTTTGTTCTCTAACGACATTTGTTTTTTCCGGAGAGATCCGAACGAAGTCCACTGACCTCTCTGTGTATGCGATGATGCTCGGATTGTCTTGGTGGAAATGTGGGTCCCTAACTAAAACCTGAGTATCGGATAGATGGTTCTAAAGAGAGGAATTTCTGTAGGAATGTTGTACCAAGGTTCAGTGTCAACATCGCACGGTACGGTAACAACACCATTCGCAAATGTCAAATGATTCTTTTTGCGTAGAGGGTGGTGGTGGATAGTCTAGACAGTGGTGGTGGCGGCGGCGGCTTCACAGACCATCGAGATGTATGAGGCATGGGCATGGCATGGCATGGCACGGCACGGCGAAGGTAAATTGCGGTCGGGCTGAATTGCTACGGAGGGCTGGCTGGCAAAGGAGGGGAGACTAAGGGAGGGGAGATGGTGGAGCGAGACACGGGAACAACCCGTGCCGAAACCCGGGGGAGCCTTCAAAAGAAGAAAGAATATAGAATGCCTAGCCAGCAAAGGAGACGTAAGAACTAAACTAACCTGTTTGTTGCTGGTTGCTGGTCGCGCTTTTGAAAGAGTACGAGCGGGTAGCCATGGCATAGGTCTTGTCCGCATTCAACTTTTGTGCAGCTAACATAGCGGCGGTGAAAGAGTTGCCATGTTGTTTGAAGCCTGGCACCACAAAGCGCCTGCAAAAAGAAACGCCAAACAAACCACCAAAATGTGGCTTTTATTACGAGGGTGTAGAAAAGTTGTGTGCTCTATGCCACTCTAGATGATCCAGAACTTCTAGGACGAGAAGAGCATCCAACTTTTGATTAAGATGCTCAACTCTCAAGGTTGAAGGATGTGGGTTGCTGAGGTGAATGAAATCTATAAAGATTCTCATTCTCCTCGGGCTCAAGGGTGCCAGAGCAGCACATGTGCTTAGCGATCGGGGGAAACTTAATGTGCTTGTTCCTTTTACATGGTTCGTTAATACCACATTCTATGAGAAAGCCCGGATAGAATTCTCGTCATGGCCTACGTTTATTCACGGCTTTACCTTCATTTCCGTACTTACATTACCCCAGGCACCGTGACCCCCAACTTAACTTCACACGCACGTTCTGTTGGTCAGCTAATAGCCATCCAGCCATCCAGCCACTTACAAGAGCACGAGCACGAGCACTCCCTCACTCCACTCCTGGAGTACCTGCCTGTCGGATCCGAGCAACATGTGTCGCCGCTACCCAAGTTCATGTCCGGTCTGGGGCCCAAAAATATCAAAGCATCTTCAAGCACACGTTACCTTGACTCCCGTGTCTTCCTCCCTACTACTTGATCAGCGGACGAGCGGCCGGTCCCTGGAATGGGGAAGATGTTCCTCCCTGTGAATGTCAATCAGCTACTGTCCTATGCACTAGGCCTCCACTATCCTCTCCTCTCCTCCTCTCCGCCTCTCGGCTCAACGTTGAACTCGTCTTCACCGTCCGTGGCGATAATCTTACATCGTTAAATAATGGCATTCCTCACCTCTCCGCAGCAATCTAGCTACATATGTAAATGAAACAAACTTCGACCCCGGAGAAATCTCATCACCCAATGCACTAATCAATCCAATTTTCATTGATTTGACATATCATCGTCATCCCCAAACACAATATGGACATCTTCTACGTGACCGCGCTCAGTTCCCAACCACGTCATGCACATCAGCTGTGACCTCTGATGACTACCCAGTCACGCCCAGACGCAATGCCCCGACTACGAGGTCCACTCTGCAGCCAATCAATTCACATCGATACGGCTGCGTCCAGTGGCATATGCACATCTACGTGGTGATCCAGATCCAATCAATGCCAACCACATCCCAATCAGCGACCGCAATTGCAGACCACACGATCATAATCATCGGGCCGACTGTGCGGCAGCAGTCGACTACTACTACGCTAGGGCGTCGACGGACGCACAGGATTGTCCTTTACGGAGTAAAGGAGCGGCGTCATGACCCATGCTCATGGTGCACGCATACCACAGATACCAGACATGCATCAACTATCAAGTGCACGTTGACGTGGGCGTGAATGAAGAGAGTTCTTGCTTCAGCCTCGAACGTAGTAGCTACTGCAGTACATGCTCATGCTCAGAGGGTAACTTCAGCACATCTTGTACATGGGCCCTTGCTACCTTTGTGGTGGCCGCCTTCCTTCCTTCCTTGTTGCTAATGTAGGATGTGTATCAGCAGGAAAAGGCAAGAGTGGTCCGCAAGCACACATTTCCATGCCATTCAAATGATCCGTTGACAAGCATCCAACATTGTGTGACCCGGTAATGATAATGCCATAGGACCATACCAGAACCACGCCCACACGCACTCAGGCGGATCTCACACTAATCCTCCTCAACCCAGAAGTCCATCAACGACTTCTTCCTAAGCACTACAGCCGTATGGAAAATCCACCTGTAGTTTGACACAAACTGGAGGCAAAGCAGAGCATAAAGTGCCGACACACACACACTCACTCTCACGCGCACACACACACACACACACGAACATGCACACAAAGTAGAGCTGTACAAATAACAAATGTTTCGATTATATCCTTTGAACCGTCTAAAGAATCACAATTATGTATAAGAGTGGTAGCTACATCAGGCCGCTAAAGTACGCTAAAATTCGCTTCTGGTTTGTTGACGGGATTCCATGACGTTGTTTCATTGATGTATTCGGGGTCAAGTCAAGTGGATGGAATTACAAAGTGGGACAACTCAGTCCTCGCAAGAATAATCATCACCAGCACATAATTTTGCCTAAAAAGTACCAAACAAATATGGCACTTATAATTATACCCTCAAAGCATACACTTACTCATGCTGTGGTTGTAAAAAATTGAAGGCCGCGTTGTCCCGAAGAAGTGGGGGAGCATCCACATCAGACAAATCAATGTCTGACATTGACTTCGAGATGTCATCTACAGTGAAGGGAATGCTGCAGCGACACCAGAATTGCAGTGTTAAACACAGATCTCATAAACGCGACGCATACCTCCAGAACAGATTCACCCACTCATGTCTAGGACTCCAATCAAATGAACCGGTCCCTACTGAAGTATCATACCTTGAGTCGTCGTCCAGCAAGAAGGAGTTGCTGACGGCACTGTTGGAATCCTCGGTCATCAACACTCGCATATTAGCAATTACCTGCATGTTTGCAGCTCTTTGTTAGGAAAACTGCTATCCACACCACACAAAACATCCAAAGACGAATTCCTGCTATGTGAACATGAACGGTGAGGGGACAATATTCCGTAGGGTAGCCTTTACTTACCTCAGGTGAAACACTATGCGTGCCATATTTGTCATCCCAATACATGGTGCTGATACGATAGAGTTGTTGTACGCTCAAGACCTGAAACACATACATAATTTAGGAACTCTGCTATAGGGCTGACGGACCTCCGATGCGATTATAAAGCAATGACCTCAATAAGCGAACGCGATTTTCCGAATTCAAGTGATTAAAGTTAGGGTGTAACGTACTGGGCACAAATCATGAGTAATCTCATCAAGAGATTTCTTCGGCTTTTGATGAATAACCTGATGGAGAAGGACGAAGTTTAGTATTTCTTATTTGCAAAAAGCATACTCCACGTACAAAGAAGCGAGGTTATCAGAATTCAGATACAGATACAGCGTCTAATAGCTGATACTCTATAACCAGCAACAGGCCTGATAACCAACAGATATTAGCAGAGAGCATTGCCACATGCATAACGATATCAAAATAAAGCGAAACTTACCAAAAATCCGACGGCTTGTCTTATATACTTCAGCTCATCCCAAGATGAACCTGCGTACTGTACGAACAGACATGAATCTGAGTTAGTCTTACGCCCAAATTCCAGCGATCCATTCACAATGAATTTGCACGGATAATACACAAAATAATTCTCTTGCTTTGCAGTCTTTCCTATATTTATGAGTACCTCCTCTGTTGCGTCATATATCCAGTGTTCAAGCTCTGCCAGTCCAGCCTTGACATACTCTCCGTTGCTAAATGAGCAGCACTCACGCCTCAAAAGCAAGCTGTGGTATCATAACAAGCCATGGTTGCAATCTCCGATTAAGTTTACCGGTGAATGGTCTTACCCTGAAAAACCTAGACCCCGCCACTGGGTAGGAGGGATAGTGACAAAGTTCACTAGAAACGATAGAGACAAGATTCCGATTGTATGTAAAATTTTCCAGTCAATTGGCGATTGTAAAGATAAGCGTAGGTTTACATACATGACCATTACAGGGGAGGTAGACTCCATAAAAAATGTGCTTATTCGGCTAGCGAATAATGATGAATTAGATAAAAAAGACAACAAAGAAGATCTTGAGAGTGTTACAAATTATAAGTAATAATCATTGAGCGATTGGAACGGCGGTCTGACTGACAATGACCCAAAAGTCAGTTACGGTTCACACCTGTTGAATAGTTGTACATTGATAAAAGAAAAGATCTGCGTAAAGAGCTTCCGGACCAAAAACGGTGGCACCTGTGGAAAGACAAAGAGGAGAAGTGTACGATTAGTACAATTACGAAGCAAATAAACAGAGCAAGTGATTTTACATGCAGGAAGTTATGTACGATACTCACATGATTGGCGCGCAAGGTGCTCAGGAGTGAACTCAAACTGCTGATGATGCTGTGCCAGTGACTGCTCAAGACTTGTTGTGTAGACATATTGGCGATCGGTGATGTCCTAGATGCCACTTTACTCAACGTCGCTCTAGATGTCCTTGGCGCCTGCAGTTAACAAACCAGCCATGACCATCACAAAGCGGCGCAGCAACAAGAAAAACACAAACCGTCTATCACACTTTTGAATATTTGCTGCAAAAGAAAATAAATTGAGAAAACTTGTGTGAACAATCCCGCTTACCTGGATACAGAGACTTAGGAGCGGTGAAATCTCCTTCTTGAGATTGTCGCGAATCATTCCGTAAATCTTTTCGACGTAAGCAGTGAGCTGCTGCTTGAAAAGCAAAGCTGGATACTTGGCCTCCACTTGTCGTAGAACCTCTAGTCCACCCATAATTCCACCATTTCCAAAAGAAACTCCGCCGGAAGGAGAAGATCTAAATCCCTGGAATATGACAAAGGCATTATGAGACAGTTTCGTTCATTCAACTCTCCAACTACTAACAAGTCCCAAAAACAGGAAAGAGGCCACCACCACAGAGGGCTGCACACCTCTCCCTAGGTATGGTTTACGGTTATGGTTGACTAGTTGATTGAGATGATTTTTTACTACATGAACGCAAAATTCAACAACTAGACTTCAATACCCTGAGAAAATTTCCGGCTCTGTAAACACTGACGGTGTCAGGATTCTTACTTGTGTCATGCGTCCGAAGAGGGTCACAGAACTGGGCCTTCGGCGTTGCGGGGTACCTCCAGCTGCCCCACTGGCTTTTAGAGTACGTTGCAGAAGGAAGAGAAGCGTTGACGTGTTGGACAGCCAGTATGCTAAGACATCATTGTTCTCTTGACTCTGTAGATCCAACAATTCAAAGCTTAAGTGTCTTCATGAATCTACCTACGGCGAATCCCTAATATTTGCCATTAGTGCAAGTCGGACGTGCACGACCAGATTAGTAAGCCCTAGCACATATTAAGTATGACAAAGAGTGTATTATGCATCAGCTCTATCCTCACCTCAATAGCAGTTCCGATAGTTTGAATGATGCGATCAAATACATTCGTCCTCTCAGCTTCGAATGAGCGCCACTGAAGAAGAGACTTGTAAATAATACATGCTGCAACCGGCCTATCATGGCTGAATCCCACATCTTGCATGACACACTGCAGAAGGGCATCTTGATTCTCCTGCAATGCGTACCACTCTGATTAGTGAATACTGTCACTAACTTCGATTCCCTCCAGAGGAACCTACCAAAATTGTAAGATAATTATCATTGCTTGGAAACCATCAACGTGAAACGGAGTCACATTCCAAAGAGTCAAACGTGAAGCCATCAAAACCTGTTGTCTGTCGATGAGTAGCTTTTGACGCCTTTGTTCAGCCTCCGAATGCTCTCTCTCAATTTGAGCTGTAGAAGGTGTCTCAAGCTGCACAATTCATGTTTCAGCCATATTAAGTACCAGCTTTCGACCAATGTGAAAACATTAGATTCAATACTTGGGGAGGCAAAGAACTATGTAACTCTTACAACTCAGGCCTTAAGTCCTGAATTTAAATGCTCTCCTTCAACAAAAGACAACAATCATGAAACTAACCTAGTCTACCGCTTCAAAATTTCTGCAATAATAACTCATCGTGAAAGTCGAGTTACTCGAGAAGGTACAAGTGGAACTTACAGTGGCCTGACGGTGTTCACCATTTGCAAGATATCCATTGTCTGGGCTTCTCTGTATTCACAAGGTCCGTCACGCAAATATCATCTTTGTCAGAAGAGATTTCACACCATATGCTCTTACATAAGCCCAGATCTGACAGACATATCAGAGGACCTTTCTCTCATTCTAAACAAGAAAGAAATACAAATCAAAGATTAGAGGTGTGGTGGTAAGGTAAGGTGGGACCTAAAAATAACAATGCCTTGCAAAATCGCACTCGTCCGCAAGGGCAGTAACAGAGCAAAACATTACCTGGAAAACAGTGGTTTTGAATCGACTTCCAAGACCCTTGGTGGGCGACAATACAAGCGTTTGTTGGCGAAGAACTTGATTCTCCGACTCCATATTTTGAAGCTTTTCCTCCAATCTACTCGCCCAAGAAAAGTTGTGGTCAGAAATCAATGAATTAGACCAAGGGGATATAATACACTTCGCGTGTGAAATACACAGGTTGCCATCTAACATAAATCACAACCATAAACAGGATGAAAGACAGCACAAAACATAGATTAGAGAGTCAAAGAGAGGTAAGGTCATGAATGCAGAGATTCAAGTTAGTGATCATTTAAGACGCATATAAAACTGGCAGCCATTCAACTAGAGGAGACTCGCCTATCCAAATAAAGCAACTATGTCTTTATTTAAGAAACAAAATACATACAATATCCAAAGGAGACATTCTTGAGGATCTGCTTAAGTTATATTGCCTCGTTTCTTCGGTCAACTCTTTGCTTTACGTAAGTCCTCTCCAACATTGATGGATAGTAGTAAGCCCTAGAACCACTAACAATCACAGCCGATGCAACCTTACATGAAGGCGCACTTCGACACCTAAGAATAACTATTGCCGCAAGGTTCTTTTTGACGGTATTACTTGACTATATTCTCCAAGATGTAATGTTTGCAGAGGCTTGCAAATCTAAAAGAGAACGGAAAAATGAAATAGGAAGTATGGTATGAGGAGCCCACCATCAAAGAGAATGTGATAGCAGCTCAGCTGAAATAACCTCATACAACAGTTCTCACCAAAGAAGGCTTTTAAAGCCTGCTAAATAACGGAGTTAATTAACAGAAGACGTCAGGCGCTTCCTTCGCAGCCTGGGATCTCGCTAGCGCCGTGTCGTATCCCAGCTTGTATAAGATAAATGAAGGTAGTTGAAGTATATCCCCCGGGCCAGAAAGAGATTAGCACTCCTTGTAGCCTTTAAAAGGGGGTTGTCGGTTCATAAAGTGAGAATAAGTTAGTAACTGATTGGAGAGATATTGTTAGGTCCGTCGAATGGCAGGAGAAATGAAGTACCTCCCTTTGAGGTTAGGAGGAGGAGAAGGATGCCGCCTTGTGGGTCCCATAGGAGAATCAGTTCTCCTTGTGGACAACGATGGGTTAGGCTTCCGAAGGAACGATGGTGATGGAGGGGGATTTAACCTTGTTGATGCAGATGGAGAAGGCTTTGGAAGGGGAGACGGAGTATCAGAAGCATTGACTTGAGGTGAAGGAGCTGGAGAGGATGATGACGTTTGAGAAAGACTGAATCTTGGTGATGGAGCCTGAGAGGGCTTTCTGGTGGCTGAAGTGGTATGAGACGAAATTCCTCGTGATGGAGCTGGTGAGGACTTTCGGTTGGACGGTGGATTAAGAGAGAAACTGAATCTTGGTGATGGAGATGGAGACGGCTTTCGAGTGGAGGATCGGGAAGGAGAAGGCCTTCGAGCACCAGGCGCTTCAGGTAGGATGGAATTAGGCCTCGGAGAAGATGGAAGCTTTCTTGATGTTAGAGAAGGGGAACGCGTTCCTCTAGGGGTAACTAGAGGAGAAGGGTTACGTGTACGTGACGAGACTCGATCGGACTTAGGAGTTTCTGGCCTACTTATCCCAGGTCCTTGAGACAGTTGATCACTGCGTATTCCACCTTTCATCAGGTACGGGAAAGGGGCAGGAGGGGAAACAGGCACAGCTGTCTCCAGAGAAGAAACTTCGCTAACTGTATCATAACCACTTCGGCTGTCTTTACTGAGCTTGGTAGTCTGAACAGTTTCCACAACTCGCAGAGGCTCCCGAACTTTCAAGCGTAACTTCAAGGTACCGGCTTCTGTTGCAGTGAGAACCTTCGTTACAGGTTTTGAACGTGGAGATTGCGAGTCTCGTCCATGCAAACGCGGTAATTTGGACAACGCCTGAGAAAGAGAATTTTCAATCTCTTGTCGGGTAGGCCCTTCAAGGGACCCAGATCTCAGAATTGGTTGTACCCTGTCACCACAGTGACGGCAGGCCACTCTCCCTGAATCATGCAGGGATGCGCGCAAGTTGGGTAGAGATCCTTCAGGCAGTAAACTCAGCAAATGGCTTGACAGAGGTACCAGCCAGTCCTCAGGAGTCTCACAGGCTGTCTCACAAGCTAACTCCAATAAATGAAGTTGGCTTGTGAGACTTGAACTGTCAACGGGAACGCTGAATCCAGATTGTTTCGTTGTATAGACATCACGTGAGGGGGGGGAACGTGAACCCTCCAGACTATCAGAACACAGCACTGAATCTCGCGCACTGGGCACGAGTCCATCACGCCGGCTCGCGAGCCCCCACATGGGTCTTCGTAAGCTGATTGCGAGCCTGTCAACAAGCATTACCTTGTTAGGGTTAGAAGTTGTTTCCTATCTACTTTGAGTGTGAGTCCCGTTAGAAAATTCCGAAACATTCCGACACCGCTCTTCTGCGTGGTCCGGGGAACGTTCCGCCCATTCAGATTTTCAGATTCGTTCTCACTCAGATCACACACATTGGGACCAACCACACACTTGGAAAACAGAAGGGAGAATATTGCATCCCACCTATGAACAGCTTCCTGCATTTGCTCAATCTTCGCCTCTGCTTCTTCTGCTCTAAGTAACCTTTCATCACTTTCCTTCTTGGCAGCAGCATACTTCTTCTCTGCCTCTGTTGCCTCTGCTGCTCTTGCCTCAAGTGTCTCGACCAAGGCCTAAACGAAGTCAACGCAAATCCCTGAGTACTTGGAGCACATAACAGCGATAAAGGTGCTCTACGAAGATCCCTCGCTTCTCAAGTTCACAAAAGGTTATTAGGACCGGTAGATAAGCCATCCTCACCTTTCGCGACCATCCGAGTGAGGACCAAAGAGGAAATAAACTGCGGTGATGACAAAAGACTGATAGACATAAGCGGACGGAAAGCCTTACCTTAAGTCTGTCACACTCAGCGACCAATTTCTCCACCTTAGCGTCAGTGACCTCAACAGAGGGGACCCTTTCGGCAGCAAGCACAGCCTGTCCAAGTGCCATTTTGTTTTGCTCTCTCTCCTGGATAAGGCTGTCGCTTGCGGCCTGGACTTGCAGCTGCATATCTTGCAAGGAGGCTTGAAGCTTGGAGATCTCCTGAGCTTTGGCCTCTTCCAAGTCCGTCTACAATCAATCATGCAGACAAGAAACAACCTCACAATTTAGTCAAAAATATATAGTTTCCAACGACTTGTCCTCGTGCCAGTATGGAAGGTCGAACATCGGATTCGGCTAACCACCTGAAGAGGTAAGAATTATTAGCATAAGAAAAAGACAGATCAGAGATCTCTCTTTCTCTCTCACGCATCAAATACAAACACTCATGCATATTATGTAATCTGAAGCCGGTTCAATTACCTTATTAAGAAAAAAGTCACTGTTAGGAGGGTATACTAAACTGAATAGCTACATATTCACACGTACCCGCATACGTTTCTCCAGTTGCAGACGCCAGGTAAGCTCATCGCATCTCTTCTCAAGCATTGTCTTAGCTGCTTGTAGCGCACCAGTTTCCTTTGCAGCCTGGAATGATCCAATCAATGATGAGAGAGATTTAATATTATTAAAATACAGAAAGCATTTTGACGATAGTAATGCAAAGGTGACAACCTACGTCTGATCAAGGACAACTCACCATTTTGAGCTTTTTGAGTGCTTGTCTAGCAACCCTGCCTCTCCATTGACATTGGAAGACGACCGCTGCTTTGCGTAACTTTTGGTAGTCAGAGCGAGCCTTGTACCCACGGAACCGTGTCTGCGCTCACAAAGCAGTATTAAGAACTAATTGAAGAAAATTCTAACCTACTTTGATATTCTGACGTGACATACTCGGAGGAGCTTCAAACTTAGATACTTCCGAAAGTTAAGAAACGACACAAGTAACGATTGAAGGTATGAGGACCACGTAAGCCAAAAAGTAAGAGTTTAGACGGCTTTGGAGATAGACATCGTTTGCATACCTGTATGATGATTGCAGCTTTGGTTTGACGTCTGCGTCTGAATTCCTTCCGAGCAATCATACCACGGACTCCTGCTTGAACAAAAATAGCAGCCTTGCGCGTTTTCGCGTATGACTTTTGAGCCAACCACCTGCGGACATGCTTTTGAATGCACACAGCAGCAGCTTCCTTCCGAAGATCTTCATACTGCTTCCGTGCCATCCTTCCTAAAAAGTCAGTCGAAAATATGTCAGTCCACACAGAACATAGAGGATTGACTAAACTAAAATCTATCTTTCAATTGATGGAACGTGGAAACGAACTGAAAGTATCGACAACAAAAGCAAGGATGATTTTAAGTGAGGAGTCTTGTACCTCGCCAGCAAGCCTGGATTTTGACAGCGGCCTTTCTCTTTTTCGTGAATTCTCTCCTGGCCAAAAATGTACGAACTTGCCGCTGAATGGTTCTTGCCGCATTGCTTAGAAGTTCTGACCTCTTACCATCCAGCGTCGCCATCTGGCCTGCCCTCAAAAACACTTTCGTTTGACCCACCTGAATAAAACGGAGTAGACTATGAGTAACCAAAGAATGAATAGTTCAAGGAACGGGAGGCTATACCAGAAAAGTAGCTAACCCATGAAATTTGAACTCCCTAGTCACTCTGAGGTAAAGAATGAGAAGGTGAATGGAATACAACAACAAGACTACTGACCATAAGTTCCAGTCCACAGTACCTGGAAATTGACAAGACCCATTTTCTCCAAAAGCTTTTCGGTGACAGTCTTCTCATCGTAACTGGAAGATGACAAGAAAGAGTGTCAAGCTACAGCGAACACTGAAACTGAAAACGAGGTTTTCAGAACACTGAAAACGACAGACGTGCTCCTGTCACTTACTTTCCATTCAGGAGCTCAGGAGCCAAAAGGCCGAATCTGTCAATGAACTCATCGAAGGTCCGTCGGGTTGGGTATCCAGCACAACTGATTCTCACCGCTTCAAGAACACCCTGTAATTGGGGACAAAACGTCATGAAAACTGCCAGAAAATTTAAGCGTATTGAAGACCAATTCTTCATTGGAGACAGAGATATAAATATCAAGTCAAGTCGCCAGACAGGAGAGTTCAAAAGATCAATCAAATCAGAAAACTACAAGAATTACTTTAAAAGGTATTAAAGTCTCAATTTTATGAATGCAAGGACTTAGAACTCACAAACGAAGTTCTAAAGGACTAAGCTAAGCCGCCAAAAGCTCTTACATGTGGTGAGACTTGCAAACCACTGAAGGGCTAGTCCTTCATTGATATTCATTTGATAGATAACTTGAAGGGTTAAAGACACAAAAAGAGCACTTACACCACATCGAAGTTGTTGGAGCACATTCACATTCTCAAACCGACCAGGTTTGTTGACCATGTTTGGTTTCACACACCGAATGTAATGAGGTTCAGTTTGATTCAGAGTCTCCATGAGGGCTTGCAGTTGTTGCTGCAAACACAAACGTTGTTAGCAGACGCGGCTGATGCTGAGACGCAAGCAAGGATACATACATCATGATGGAAAAGGGGGTCCCGTGATCAAGCTATTATCTCCACCACTTCGCTAAAGAACAAATCCGATAAGGGGAGGAAAAGAACTAAAACACTATGCATCAATATCCTTGCCACTTATTGTTCCACGGGAAAAAAAGTCGGTAACACCTTGAAACGAGTTCCGATGGATGAAAATTTGTACGACGACTTTGAAGATTCGTCCGAAGGAGGAGGAAAGAGGCCAGCCACGAATGAACACGAAGAAGATCCCAACAAAGCTTGATGCTCAGCAACAACGTAATCCTTGTTCTTATCGAGAAAGAGGTCAGTCTGATACGTCACCTGCAGTAAGAGGAAAATTTCGAGAAATCAACGAAGGATTTGTATAAGCTGAAAACGCAAGAAATCTACAACCCAACAACCAAGCGGGATTCGATTCGAGAAAGTGCCGAAATAAACTGCTTACGTCGCCAGCATAGTGACTGATTGTGAAATCAGTACGAGAAAGCTTGGGCTTGCTGAAGCGCTTGTTCCTGTTGAAACTCTGGAACAGTTTTGTCGCGAACGTTTCATTCGTTGACTTGGGAAACATACTGTACCACGAATGAGATGGAAAAATCAGTTCAATATTTCAAACAAGAGGCAAACCTTTGCGTTCAGTAATGCATGCCGTCATTATGTCATATAAATTATATACAATTATATACAATTATACGACGTTTGGAGCTTCGTGGATACGGTGGAACTGTAGCATGAAAGTGAATATAAAAAAAAAAGCTTACCAGGCTTCGTCCAGAAGAGCTATGATCCCGACAGGCTTCTGCAAAGGTGACCACAAGACAGACAAACCTTGTAAATGATCGATACCAATAAGGTAAGCAGTCAACCGTGAAAAATAAGGTCAGCGAGGGAATCTGTAATTAATTTTACAGTATTACAGTCCTACGGACAAGCTTCGAACAACTACTGATAATAAGATAGTGAACCGTTCTCTTCACTTGAAGCACTCTTCCGTATTATCTTATTCACTCGATGGTACGACCTCTTGTCCTCAGATCCAAATAATAAGAAGCGGAAAAATAAATGACCTCATATGTTCGAGTTACATTGGCCAACTCGACAAATACTCAAAACTAGATATTTAGGCTTGAATACATAAGAATGGGCCGGGGATCACTTCAATAGTCTTCATTATCCAATGTTCGAACTTGCACGAAGTCTATAAGTTATACGACCTTTAGTTGAATCATAAGGACTTAACTCGACTTTTGATCTAACTCCGGGTAAAATTCGAACACTTTTCAGCCTCAAAGACGTCAGGTGGATGAGCTCAAGCAACGAGGATTTTGACGAACAGCACCTTCTCGATGAGATCAAGAACATCTTGATTGTCGACAAACTCAATGTAGCTCCAATTGATGGCCTCCTTCGTGTACTCTTCCTGCTCCATCTTGAACACATGCTGTAGATGGACCACGGTACTTCAGCAACAGAACGTTTGATTCTCCGCCATTTGACCAAATGTATTAGGACACAGACGGAGATATGAACACTGTTTTAATGTAAAGGTTTCAAGTAGTTCAAATTTACGGATACACACCTGATTGAAGTGTTGCTGCAGCTTCTCATTGGCGAGATTGATACAAAACTGCTCAAAACTGGACGCATTGACAAAGCAGGCAATATATTAGAGGAGTTTAAGAAGACGACCTTTGCATGAACTAACCAGCACCACATAAGTAAGTCTAAGACGAGCACTGTATCTATAAGACATACCTGTTAACCTTGAAGCTCTCGAAACCATAAATATCAAGGACTCCCACCAAAGTGGTCGAATCTGGATCTTGCCCAATAGATTTGTTGACCTTGTCGACCAGCCTGCAAGCACGGGCATCACGTATTCAATCTCGACATAAAAGTGAAGACAAGTTAATTCAGGCAAGAGTTATTCCAGAAAAACAAAAACCAAAACAAAAGTGAAAATTATTATAAGAACATAGGCTGCAGTGTAAGCAATGTACTGCTTACCAGTCAAACAATCTCGAGTAGATCGTCTTCGCCAAAGTGTCACGGTTAGTTGTAGCAGAATAAGCATCTAGAGTTTTGGTGATATTTTCGTCACGTGTAACAATGATGCGCTCGCACAACGAATCCAGTAAGCTCTTGCTATTGCACCTGCAACAATCCAAAAAACGCGTTCATATGTTGGCATATTTTGCATTTCTCCAAAATCCGTATTGAGATACAGCTCACATATCTATCGCTCGACGAAAATCTGGGACACTCCACAAAACTCCGATGACCTAATTTAGATTGCTTATGGTGACAAACCTCAAAAGCTCCGCAACCACACTGAGATGAAATTTAGACTTCTCATCCTTCGGTATTGATGAATCGGCCTCTTTCCCTGTTGTAAACTCCACGTTTCCCAAATGCAGTATAGCAGCCACCACTCGAAATATTGCTTCCTGGATAAAAAGTGAAGTGAAAAATGAGGTGGACGTTTCAAACCGTGAAGACGCTAAAAAAACCCCACAGCACACCATTACGCTAACCATGAATAGCGTCACTTTTTCTTTTTTTTTATTTCAGCTTTCATGTATTACTAAGAGAAAGAACAGAGACAAATTAGACCAGGAAAAAGATGTAGCACAAGTCTGGGAAATTTATAATTGCCGTGTTCAGATGTCCACCGATAGGCAACGAAGTTATCTTTAAATTTAACCGTAGAAACATATCTGATATTTTGATCTAAAGGATGGCGCTTGACTCTAGCCGCGATCAGAGGCTAAAACTACCTGTTCCTCAGGGCTAATGCCGACAATGTCCATAGCCCTCCTCGTCTTGATGTATTCCCGCCCGTTGTTCACGTTGTTCAACTCAAAGACTGGACTCTGATTTAGATAATGGAAGCTCCTCGGATCACCAAGTCTGTACTTCTCAGAATCCTGGAAAAATTACAGGATAGAGATCAGCACGAACGTCAGTAGCCACCGGCGAAACCAATATGTGAAGAACCCGAAGGAAACCCAATTGTGACAAGTAGACCTACCCCAAAAATATATATGTATAGATATATAACCTCAGCATCTTACCTCTGGAGAAGCACATAGCTGATAGAAACAATGGTAGTTGCGCTCTGGATCGGCAATCTGTACAACACGAGATCTTTCTAGTAGATATGTTCTGACAGCAGCTCCGGATATCCTCCCATTACGATCAAATTGTATCTCCACGAACTTTCCAAAGCGACTGCACAGTTGCCCAGATGTCAAGTCAAAAATTGTCTCCAAGACAAGACCGACGTCTTCGGCTCATATTACTGTATAAGCTGGAAACAAATGAAACTCGCTTAGCTTCATAAGCAGCCGAATGGCAGAAAAAGATGAACGATTTAACAAAAAAACAATCGACAGTTCAAGTCCTCACCTAGAATTGTCATTGCGAGAAGTCTTCGCGTTTCCAAATGCTTCGAGAAGTGGATTCGACTGCCGACAGACAAACATCCGTGTCAGTTGATTACAAATTTGAGCAGAACGAAAAGGTGCACGGAAATGTAATTTCGAGAGACAATTTACGAATAACCTTACGTATCCTCCTGTATCACAAACTCAGTTTTTCAGAGCTCCACATACACTCACCCGCTCCGCTTGACAAGATGCGGGAATAAAAGTTCCGGGCGCTAACAAGCACCTACCTCCAAAACTTGTTGCTCCACTGTCCTTCCATCAGTATTTGCTCTCCCACCCATGTAGGCTAAATATTGCATGATCAACTTCGTAGTTTCAGTCTTTCCAGCTCCACTTTCTCCACTAACCAAAATAGACTGACTCCTTTTCTCGTTGATCATTGCCCTGGGTGAGAGTTAAAAACAAACAAACCCTTCTCAGAAATACGACTTGGAAGGGACTCAAAGCTAGTCATCAGTGTAGACCACACAGCCTATCATATCAGAAAAGAGTCCGAGAATAGGCAGCCGATAAGTAGAGGCGGCTGACAACATGCACGTAAGGCTCGTAATGAAGCCTTCTGATGCAAAATTGCAGTTTCTTCTGTAGAATAGAATGTACAATCACCTATAAGAACTGTCGGCAACTGCAAATACGTGCGGACTCAGTTCTCCCAGTGGAGCTCCACGATATTGCTCCATCATGTGGTTGTCATAAAGATGAGGAAGCTTTGCAAAAGGATTTACAGCTATCAATATATTCCCGGTATATGTCTGTAATAACCACAAGATGAAGGTTAGACGGTATTATAGAAAGAAGTTCTGAAATAATCCATTCTCTGAGACATGCGACCTCATCGACTCCATAACTTTAATCTCCATAAAGGAAACTGTAAAGTCGCTGTCATATAGGAAGTCTCCAAATTCGACTACATTCTTCAGTAACGTACATCAACATGATGTCAAGTTTTACAAGATCCAAATTTCCAAGTTCTAGAGCCTATACAATTCATTTAATATCCTGGAAGACAACCTGAGAAGAAATACTTACATATATTTCGTCAAGCTCATATCTACTTGCAAGATTGTACAAAACCCCTGGTTCATGCAAGTATGCCAGTTTGGTCATGTCATCCACTCCTCCTGGCTGGGAATCGGAATCTTTGGCATGTACATTGGAAACGGAGGCCACGACCTGCACGAAGCCCAAAACATTTAGTATTTGGAGCACAGAGCTCGTAAAGCCGAAAGAAGAGTCTAAACCATAGAGGGAGGAGAATGGATCTAGACCATGACTTCGACTATACACCAATAACTTTGAATTGGAGGGTCAAAAGACTTAAGCTAGAATCACATGTGACGCGATAAAGAGCAGATCCAATGATATTAACCTCATGAACCAGAAAAAAATACTGACGAGTGTTGAGTTCCTTTATTTTCCACTCCAGTGCCTTCTTGTATTACTTGGAAAGTGCAAACTGGTACACAGGATCAAAATTCTTACCGTCGTTCCATTGATGGTTCGCGCCTTAACTTGCTTGCCATCGAAATCCAACACCTCAGCCTCCACCCAGGCCAGGTTGGAATCTTCTACCCATACTTGCGATCCGATTGAAATATTTGCAGTCGCCTGCATGGTAGTAAAAAGGTAACACCAGTTGAATGTGAGACAGTTGGTCAGGATGTCTCACCATTCTTTTCCCATCGACCAAGATATCTATTTAAGGGGTCGAAAGTCAGCGTGGATTTGAAACTTCTGAAACTCGGATTTCTGAAACTCGGATCGGCTCAGATTTGCGTAAGCATGAACCATGCACGAACGAGACCATTCGCGGACCTGTATACAACATAATCTCACTCGATCTGCATACGATCCAGATGGCGTTGGCGAGATTGTGAATAATCAGACTACGTACAGAAGTCCACTCCTGTGATAATTTCGACTCTTATACTTCGTTAGCCCACAAGAGTTGCTTACACTGGAACTAGTATTGTTGAACCCTTTCGCGTGACCCATGACCTGGACCTCATGGTTTGAGGTTGCATGTGGCTGCTACTCAGACTAGCGCCGTAGGCCCATACCACGAGATCCTAGTAAGTTTCCTCCCAGGCAGAGACTGCTACCACTGCATCTGTCACCTTGTGCGGAACGTGATCAAGCTGAGCTCTGATCCTTACAAAAAAACTTGGATCCTTCGCTCGATGCATACCAACTAAATAGGAACCCACATTTGGAAGCAGGCAAGATCGCGGATTCAACCAGTTATGATGATCGCCTTGAAGTGCAAGCAAGAATGCACCTACCATTGAGTGTTGATAACATAAAAGTACTGAGGGATATATGACCAACCATGACATTGTACCGGTGTCGTAGATTGGCAAAGTTTGAAGGGAAACTGTCTCGATTGCCAAATCGGCCACGCTAGCGGGGTGTTACCTCTCAGCTCTCAATAGATGTGCCATGTTGCGTGGAGTCGCCAGATGCACCGATACACTAAAAAGCTGAGGGAAATTGCGATGAGTCAATCCGATGAATCTACAGAGCTCTTCAATCTAAATGCGTCGGAGATCAATTATATTTACGAGACTGCGGGAGTGTAGGACGATGGGGATCCCACGATCGCGCAAGGTAACACAAAATCACTAACACTGGCTGCCGACATCCGTGAATGGTAATGTAACCAAACTCGGTGGACAGAAATGTCTTCGCAGAACCTGCTGTGTGTCTCCGGTTGTATTTTCTAGCTCAAATCACGTGGATTTCTGATCTCCTTCCTCGTAGGACAGGAACGCCGGCGCCGGTCGTCAGAAGGCGGGAAACGAATTGATGCCAACATAAATTGTACAGAATCACTCGGATCTCTCATCACGGCAATCCAATGCACGGGGATGGCACCGAGAAGCAGGAAAGTGGAGACAAACGAGAGAGAGGAGTGCTACTAACCATGGTTGATCTACAAGGTGGCTGCTGATGAGGATTCAAATCAGATGTGCCTCAGCATCAGGGTTGTAATACACGACGCGCAGGATGTAGGTCGCCACGGTCCCTGCTCGAAGAAAGACACGCCCTCCTGCCCGTCGGATGCAACGAAGATCTGTCAGCCACCTTGAACTCCAAAGACAGTGCAGAAGTGTCAAGAGCTTTCTTTAATTGACCGATGTCTAGGGCAGTCCCGCCCGGGCGAGCAAGGTTCCTATCCTGGGACCGAACAAGAGCACCAAGAACCCGAATCGCAGCCGATCGACGCGCTGTCGTCTCGTCGTGAGAGGTGGAACCTAGTCCAGTCCAGCTTCGCCAGTATCCGCTCAAGCCTTGCACCAATAAAATCACGAAGGGCAGAATATCGAGTATCACCAATGCAATCCCAAGCGGCACGTTTGCCATTTTCTTTGCAGCTCCATCACCTTGTATTGCTAGAGGAAAACACAAAACTAACACTCATCCACCTGCGTGTTGTCTATCTACACACCAATTCCCACAGCCTTCCGGCACAACACTCAAGCGCACTCTCCTCTCTCTCACACTCTGCCTCTCACTCGCCTCTTTTCGACCTGCTCCACTGGCGTGCTGTTCGTCCCATGCCGATCTTAAGATTGGCTTTGCCTCTCTCGATTTTCCTTCTCCCGGTCGTCGTCGTGTCTCGCGCTGCTCGACCGCGCGGAGCGTCCTTCCTTCGCCGCTCCTCCTCCTCCTCCTCCACCTCCTCCTTCTTCTTCTTCTTCTTTCCTTCGTTCGATGAGATGACTCCCTTCGCCGAGACTCCACTCTACCCTGTTTGGTGTTGTATCAGGATGGATCTCTGGATCTCTCTCTCCTCCTCTCCTCCCTCTCTCCCCCGGAGTTCTGAGATCGATCTCAGAGCTGCAAGCGTCGTCGTGGTAAAAGCAACTGGACCCGAGACACACACACAAGGCCGAGCAGGCGAGTGCCGCAGGCGAGTTCCGAACTTCCCGTTTCGAAAATTAAATCCTTTTTAAGCGTGGTCCGAAATGATTGACTGTTGACTCCCTCTTCTTCTCCCCTCCCTCTCCCCCTTCCCCCTCCCCTCCCCTCCCCTCCCTCTCCTTCTTCTGCCTCGCCGCCCTCTACAGCCTCAAATCCCCTCCCAAAAGACGCTTCCCCACAGTCTCCCAGTAGTAGGCCTCCAGTAAAGCCTCCAGCTTTACTTTGCTACGTCGTCCGTGCCCCGCCCTGCCCTTCCCTGCCCGTTGCTGCCCTGCCCGCGCAATCTACCTCGTTCGCCGTTCTCGCCAATGAGCGCGTTGCGCAAGTTGTACTATATGCCCCCCCCCCCCCCCCCCCTCTCCTGGACCTGCAGCTGCTGCCCGCTACCCTCTTACGACGATCACGACCACGCCGACGACGACCACCACCTCGACTACCACGACGACGACGACGACGACGAGAGAGAGCTACCGACCGACGGACTGACGGACCGATGGACCGACGGACCGCCTGACCGCACAACTTTCAGATTCCTGTCACTCACCACTTTTCCGCCACCACGCCCACTTTTCCCTCGGTCGCCCCGTCCCTCTCTTCCCCTGCCCTCGTCCTGCCACTTCCACGTTCACTTGAGGGGGGGAGGGGGGGGGTCATAGTACACGACCACGCTCCCACCACGGCACCACTCGCAACCCGCGCGCGCACCCTCTCGGAAGTGGGTCGTCTCGGCTCTCGCTGCCCCCCACCCCCCCCCCCCCCCCCCCCGGCGGAACCTTAACTCTCGTTGAGTCCCCCCGACGGAGGGCCGGCCCGTGCGCCATCTTCTTCACATGTGCCCTATTCGGCACATTCTGACTTCTGCAGCGCTCTGCCGCGGCCACGTGTCGGGCCCCGGTGGTCCATCGCTAGGGTTTCCTTCTCGCGCTCCGCGCGGTGCCAGCGCCTTCCCTTCCTTCGACCGGACCCGGCTGCCATCGGGCCATCGCCCCAGCGGGCCGGCCATCTTTTCCCCCTTTTGCCACCCTTTTGCCACCCTTTTGCCATTTCTTGCTGCCCCAAAGATTATGACGCACCGAGTAACATGGCAGCTCATAACAATGTCATTGCCTTCACTTCCCTTCCCTTCGCTTGCACCTAACCTAGCCACTTATTACGACCGATTCCTTTTTTTTCATACTTATTACCAATTTCTCGCTCATTTTCTTCTTCTGCTGTTGCTGCTGCTGCCTTCCTTGCGTTTGACGGAATTCGCCTTTTGCTTTTCGTCACAATACCTTTCTCATGTCCACTCGGACGAATGACAATGGCAATGTGCCCGGTAGTTGCACATCTTTTCTTCTGGTCGGAAGGAAATACATGGAGGCGATGGCGATGGGGTACTGAACGTGGCAACAAGCTTTTTCTCATGAGAGGATAGAAAGGCAAAATAGGGTGCGGGGAAAACAACGAAAACCCCCCAGATCGGGGGGAACCCGGATTTACCCGCCCGAGATAAGAGACGAGTTACCGGAGGCAACGTGCTGCAGTAGGTAAAACAAATCCACACCCATCGGTGGAGTTGTACATCATGAGAGCGGTGATTCTGAAAGCTGGCACGTGATTTGGAGATCTCCAACCTTTCAATCTCCCGAGCTTTGGTTTGTTTTGCTGGTTTGTCAGAACGCTTTCCTCTCGTACATTATCTTTTCTTTTTCTCTCTCCTCACATCCTGGAAATGTTATTTCCGTAAACTTGCAAAAGATAGCTGAATCGTTGCTATTTTGTCGGAGGATCCTCATCGAGAATATAATATCACGTTCTATAAAAAACAATGCCATGGAATCCGAAACGTACTTCATGCATTAAGACGTGAACGTGAGAAGAGTTCATTTCTCTTTGACTAAGAAACTGAATCTAGCTACTGTACTGTGCTTTTATTCCATGGGGCACCGTCTCTTCCGTTTTCTTAACTTCCCAACCTCCGTTGCACCTCGTGAAGCGAAGACTCTTTTCCAGGCTTGCAGAAGTCTATCCCACATCGAAATCATCGAACCTTTCTCAGTGAACAAGCTCACACGAAGCAAACGGAAGTCGGAGTTATGTTGCCGGCTTGCACAATCTCAACTGTAAAGTATTAGATATATGCATATATATATATATATATGCATACAGGGCTTTTGCAGTATTTGCAACGTTCGTTCATGTGGATGGCAAAACCCACCAAAGAGTCAGAATATTTATGAAACCAAACACATTATCGTAAGCAAATGTACACTACGTTTATGGTTATCTTCTCCTTGTGTTCCTCGAAAAGTGCCATGTGAGCTACTCCATCGATGAAGCATCACACGAATATTCTACACGCTAAAGCCACTCAGTCTAAAGATACAAGGTCGACTATGCAGTGAGGTGGCTTGTTTAGATCTTCAATCGAATATTTATATCCATGTGACCCCACCCTCCGAATATCCCGTCCCTTCAAATGATTATTCGGAAATTTCCACATGAGTTTATGGGGTAAGATAAAAGGTTGATAGAATTATGGACATCCTAGTTTTTCATTGTTACTTAAGTACTGGTATATATCTGAAATCATTGTGACTAAGTTTTAAAAGTGATTAGGGGCAGCGCTCATCCTTTTTATAATTCATAAGAACATCTTTGGAAACAACAATTATATTATATTATCAGTTCTAAAACATGATCAGAGAGATACAATTGATCTTTTCTTTTCTGTATGACTGAATGTGCTCATCCCAACATTTTATTCCAAGTTGATGAGAATTATGATCTACCAGTCTAGCTCTCGTTTACTTGGAAGGTAAACCTGTGGAGGTAATGCAGCATGAAGGTGGAGTAATTGCGTTGTGAGAATGTTTCATCGGTCTACACATAGCACGAGTAATGACCTAGCAAACGTTTTAGTACTCGCTGGAGGATGACTGCATAAATCTTTAAGACAAGTCACCATTAAACATGTGACGTTAAACTTAATTGACAGAAATTTGACCAACAAAAGTACATATAATACAATCAGGATATGCAAAGAAAATTCAATTATTATGATATGTATGTAATTTCGTTATCATTGAAAAAAAGCAGGATGAAAAAATAAGTTCTTTGTGACATTCCGATTTGTCTAGATCTGAACATTAGTTCTATATACCAACTATTTTTTGGTAATACTACACACCTAAAATCAAATGTTTCATTTCATGGTAATGAAAATATGCTAGATTTGTGGAAAGAATCCTCTACTATGTACGGAGATCGATAATAAAGTGTATTCATTTCGTTATATATAGTTCTAATTACTTTTAATCGCATCAAACTCATGATATGCACTTTTCATTAGTGAAGTACAATACAATGCGTAGAAAAATAATTAAAACTGTGTTCAGTCTTATTTAATGTAGACTTTACAAAAATTCGTGACAAATTTGATAAGGATCCTAAATGACCATTTGGACTCTGTGACAAAAGCTTATACAAAAGGCAAAGCATGAGATTACGATTATTTTAAGCGGTCGTGTTGGTATATTTTTGTCAATGAATTTACTCTTTTACAGCACCCTCATTGTCCTTAATGCGAAATCTGAAATAGAAAATAATCATCAGCTTTGTTCCTAAAATATACCCACATTATACAAAATTCTTAAAAAAAGTTCACATGTTTAACATTTAAATTGATTGCAATAAGTAAATTGACCTGTTATGATGAATAATAATAAGCTACGAGTAATAAATTCGTAAATAATTAAGATATCTGTGTAATGGAAAAAAATCCATTTATATAAAAATAACTTGGTTTTATGAACATCTCAGAATCGCGTGTGGAGAAAATATCATAAGAAAAAATAATGTACTTTACAATATTTAGGAAGAGAACCAGTATGCAAGTCTTCTTTGGATTTCACACTTGTAGATTTATTTCGTATCTTTGAAGAAGAATATGGAATAAAAAAATGTATCTTACCATACAGACTATATTTTTCAGCTTAATAATAAAAGATTATTGATGATGGATTGAGAAATGGAAACAAAAATATCGTTCATTTAATTTTTTTTACAAACGTATGGTAATATGAATAAATTTTTTCTGGATTCCTTGATGAATATTTTGAAATTTGAGCAGAATTCAAAAAATTAGCTTGTTGAATATACACAATAAAAAAGAACTACTCGAACCAAATATCTCATCTATTTCATAATCAAATATGTCAGATATTTTTTAGTTGAAAATATGATAAAACAATATATAGTAGGGAAAATTAGAAAGCTTTAGGTAGAGGTTTCGACTCTAGGAATCCGCAAAGTACTGTAATCGTATGTATTACTATGTTAGTGGTAATTAGTGGTGTTCTTTCCAAGATAATTATAAAAAAAATGTCGGCTCTGTACATCTAACTCCATAGTATAATTTGTAATTTTGAGCAAATGACTCACACTATACACAGGTGTACTTAACAACTTGAACATATAGGATTTATATCAGTCTTTCTATATTCAGAGATCTTTATACTGCTAGAATGGTTAAATTTTCGATGTATTGTTCTGTTCGAACCATAAATATCCATATTGCCCAATACGCTCAAAAGTGAAAGATTTTTCCAGTAGAATGCATCATATTCATCTTCAAGCATGCTCAAACTGGGCTGGTTATTTCTCCTTTCAATAATGTCTAACACCATGAAAATGTATGATAATTATTTCAAGCTGTACATGAAATACTACATATCTATAGATATTTGTTGAAGTACATTTTGGATGGAGTGACTTGGATACACGCAAAATCAGATGAGATCAATGCGGAAAAGAACCCAAAAATTGGATAAGAACTACGTATAAGCCACCTAATCTTTCACAGAAAATGCTCTCTCAATTCGCGAGTGTAATCCAGTTTACAACATACACTACTCTGTCTTCAATTTGCATACTTTATTGGAAGTCAATTGCTGTATTCATAATTCTTTTGAGGTTATGTCATTTTGTGGTCAGTGATGGAGAATCTAACTAAAGCAACCCTTATTTGAATATTACAAAGTGAACCTGTACTGTAAATGAGCGTGTTAGTAAAAATAGACATATTTTATCGAT